GTGTAATCTGTTCATGGAACATCTTGAACAATTAGCCATTAACACTGCTCCCAATCCCCCACTGTGGTGGTATAGGTACGTGGACGATACACATACGAAACTAAAAAGAGCACACGCTGACGAGTTTACTGAATACCTTAATAGTTTGGACCCCGACATAAAATTCACCACAGAAGAAGAACAGAACAAAACCTTACCTTTTCTGGATACTCTTACGGTGGTGAAAGACGATGGTTCGTTAGACATTAGGATCTACAGAAAACCCACCCACACGGACCAATATCTGAACTTTAGTTCTAACCACCCCCTTGAGCACAAACTGGGTGTCATTCGTACATTGTTTCACAGGGCGGATACTATTATTACCAACCCCCAAGATAGGGAGGCTGAGAAAGAACACATCACTCAGGCCTTGCTAAACTGTGGCTACCCCAAGTGGGCAGTTTCCAAGGCAACTGCTCCCAAACGTTCTACAACTGATAGAAACCGTCAGTCAAACTCTTCTACGAGGCAGAACAGAGGTTTAGTCGTCCTACCCTATGTTAAGAACACCTCTGAAGCTTTACGGAGAATCTTCGGGACACATGGCTTAAAAACGTGTTTCAAACCGACCCGTACGTTAAGACAGCTATTAGTGGCCCCCAAAGACAGAACCCCCAAAGAACAAAAGTGTGGCGTGATTTACCACATTCGGTGCGCAGGTCAAAATATCAGAGGACCTTGCCCAGAGACATACATAGGGGAAACAGAACGGTCTCTCAAGACTAGATTTCTGGAACACAGGCGCCCCAGTTCAAACACATCGGAAGTGTCGCAACACATACACATCGAGTCCCCCGGACATACAGTTACATTGGACAAGGTGCGCATTCTAGATAAGGAGCAGGATTACTTTGTGAGAAGCGTGAAGGAGGCAGTTTACATCAGGGCCCACCAACCCTCTCTGAACCGTGATGGTGGGAGATACCGTCTTCCCGCCACTTTTGATGCACTCCTGACGTCATCACGTTTCCGACTTCCGGAAAGTCAGCGATTGCATCACAAATCTGACGAAGGTTGACGGGATCAGCCGAATATTTATGGTGAGTTCTCCTTATTGTGTTGGAACAAGTCAAACTCTTTAACTATGTATTCTACCAACACAGATGAGCTTTCATTCGAAGGCATTTCTAGTTATCGTAATAGCTATTATTATCTAAAGACCCCCTGGCAGATCCCACTGAAACTTGTCAGGACGGGAATGGAGTATCTTACCGAGGGGTAGTAGCTGTGACCACATCAGGCAGGACGTGTCAGGCCTGGGACAGTCAGACACCTCACGAACACAGCAGGACGGCTGCCAACTATCCGTCATCCGGACTGGATGGCAACTTCTGCCGGAATCCGGACGGGGAGTCCGGAGTTTGGTGCTACACCACGGATCCGAACGAGAGATGGGAACTGTGCGACGTTCCTGTTTGTGGTAAATAATTATTTTGATTCACTTTTCTCATGTTTTCATTAAAATTTCAACTATGTAGTGACTACAAACATGTATTCACCTTTGCATCTGTTCACCTGTACTTAGCCCGATAGGGCATGGATGTACAATAACGGTTATGTATTGTCGTTGTTATTGTTTTCTTTCTAACCGATTATTGTAATTGTTTAAAAATCTATTAAAGGGCTGTATACAGACAATCGCCCTTTAATCAGACCTTTTTTTATATTTTTATATAATCGTAGTTTTGTCAGGTGATTTATTTATTGTTTGTAGAATTTTGATTTTTAATATGTGTTTTCTTTGCTAGAATCAACATCTAGTCTACAGTCAACCAGTCTCCCAGACTTCTATTTGGAAATCGCACTTTTCGTGGACCCAAGCCTGGTTCAGGAGTTAGGGGGGATCGCTGGCGCTGCAGAGTGGTCAAAAGTCGTCATGATCGGGGTAGGTGTGGCAGACATTTTTTTAAATAATTATTTCCTTAAACTTTTTTATCTATTTAAATCTTTGCATCCATTATGAACCATCTCAAATGACTACATTTTGAATCGTTTTCTTCTAAAAGGTCCAGCGAAAATTTGACTCAGGTTCACTTGGAAAGATTGTGAACCTCCGGTTGGTCAAGTTTAACCAAGCCGTAAGTATAAATTTTTATGCTATAGTACCTATACACATGGGGTTTCAAGGAATATATCCTTTTTAGATATATCTGGCGCACTCAACCTTATACAATGCTGTATACTATTTTGATGTTTGTTTTATTCGTTTGTTTTTCGCATGACCGGTAAACCGCAGCATGTACATGTAAGTTGAAGCTGCGTAAGACAATACTGTTAGGTTAGAACCCGGGAAGAAAAAAAATTAAAACCAATATTTTTTTTAAAGTATGGTGGGTACATTCTTTAACGTGCGTGGAGTGTTGCTCTCCCTTCACACGGGACCTCCTATAACGTCCTATCCGAGGGATGTCCTGACCGAGCCGAACACGCTACTGTTTACGCCAACCAACACCACATGTTACATGGTCTTCGGTACACCACGTTAACGGATTGTATTTCTAGGATAACTTGGCGATGCAGAGTGATTCGTATCCCATGCTGAACTCATTTTGTCTCTGGCAAGAATCTCAGCCAGACAACCTGATGTGGGATGTGGCCGTGCTTGTGGTGAAGTAAGTTCTTAATCTATTAGTATTACTGAAGTATGAAACAAATGGGATTGTGGTTTTACTAGTTTTACTAGTAAATTCGGTTTCGTCTGTATGCTGTACTATTTGTCCAGGCTTCTTACAGCTCTACAACAGTGTGTAGTTCTGCTTACAATGTGTACATTGTTCTAGTAAACAATGTGTCAGAGATCATATGCCTCACACAAATTTAACCATGTTATATATTTTTCATTCTCTTAGTCGGGATCTAACTTCCGTAAACTTCGGGAAAGGTGTTCTTGGTAAGTGTAATTAACTAATTAAGTATAATAAACTAAAGAGCTAATTAGTTAAAAGGTAACTTATGAATATATTGGGGTCGATATCAATAAATCGCACACATTTTTGTCTTACAGTTCTACTCTAAAAAGTAGGTTACACGTGGGACATTTACAGGAAACAAATGATCTCCAAATTCACAGCACAGTTTAATATTACTAGCTTGAATAAAAAGAAACAACATTTCTTAGGACTAACCTAAACGTCTTGATTTTAAAGGAAGAGCAATCCTTGGCGGCGTGTGTACTGGGCAGGACACCGATAAATGCGCCATTGTGGAATATCGAGGGTACCAAACGATCGACACTATTGTTCATGAGCTAGGACACAAGTGAGTTCCAATTTTCGATTGAACAACACCTTAGCTGTTTATGTGACGTAATTTTTTTTGCAAATAGAACGATAAAGACAAACGATTCTTGATAAAGAGTTGTAAGAAGTTTACATCTGGCCTCCCCCTTTACACTTTAATGAATGAATGACGACCTTTATTGCACATTTTTGCCACACTGGCGTAGGTATGGGTCAAAACAAAACATAATGAACAGATACATACAAAATAAAATAGTTATCATTAGATAAATGTAACCTGTCCTTGTCATCGCTTTTCAGTAATCGTAGAGATAAAGATACGAATTTGTTTCTCGATGGAATGTTTGTCCACTTGCATTGGGAATGTTCAATCTGTGCTTTTTTCAGCATTGGAATGGATCACGACGGAGATGGTAATGACTGTGTAGACGGGAAAGACATCATGAGCACACTGGACTATGGCGGCAAGACAACCTTCTCCAGCTGCAGTGCACACAGCTTCAACAATTTTCTCAAGTACGCTTCATCCTGAGTTAGACAGTATTTACTGCAATATTCCAGTTTTAGGCAATCACTCTTGACATAGCTCTCTCAAAAATTGAAAGTCTGACTTCTTTCACACCATGAGTCTCATAAGGACACTGTCAAATCTACTCGTATGTGTGTGTTTTACTTATTTCTTTGTTTGTTTGTTTGTTTGTTTGTTTGTTTGTTTCGCATAACCAGCTAACCGCCTTTTTAGGCGTAACAAACCAGTTTTGTACATACAAATACAAGCTACTCAGACCGAGAGGTACTGCTATCAACGTCTGTACTCTTTCAAAGTCTTTATACTCTACAGGAAGACAGTGACCAATTGCCTTAACGATGAGGCAGACAGTGTGGTATACACGATTCCAAGTGACACCCAGCCAGGGGAACTTGTGTCTTGGGATGAACAGTGTGAAAAGGCCCTGGGTACGGCCTGGCATGGAAGCGACAAGGGATGGCGAAGTCGGGTGGGAACAGAGATGGACAGGCTAAGGGATTATGTAAGTACTGAATTATACAGTATATACAGCATTTACACAATTTACATGTACATGTGCGTATTGAATTCAATAAAATACGAAATTGACACCTGGTCTATTTAGTTATCTATTTATTTTTATTTTTTGGATTTAGGAAGATCGGTGCTCAAAAATCTTGTGTACCGATGGAAACGGCAAAGAGAAGAGTATCATACCAGTGGAGGGCACCGTCTGTGGGACAGATATGGTTCGTATAAGAGTATTTTGCATCATTTTTTGGTGGGGCGCTTAGCCGCCGGGGCCTCGAACACCTGATAAAAAGTACTGCACTCATCCCTGCAAGGCATTAGAGCAAACAAGAAAATATCTATTTAAAGTTAAATAGTAAAAAAAATTTTGAATTGCAAAAAAAAATGTTGAGACCCTTATCAACCTACGCACAATTATGTTCAAAGTGGTGCCGTGGAGGAGAGTGTATTGGTGATGACCTGGATTCTGCTGAGCCGCCTGGTGACGGGGGATGGTCCGCCTGGAACCAGTGGTCAGGCTGTACCAAAACATGCGGGCTGTTCGGCGTCAAGTGGCGCTATCGAGAGTGCAACAATCCTGAGTACGTTAGTTGGCTAACATTTACGTATTACTATTTATTTTATTAAACGTATGTACTCCAGCTCTACGTATTATAATTTCTACATACTCCTCTTTTTATTACAATTTGATACATGTGTGAAACATGTTAACAAGAATGTGACATATATATAGTGTAACCGTAAATCGATCATCAATATTAAATTCTAAAAAGCGCATTTTCGAAACTTACCTTTCATCTATGTTTTACACAGGCCAGTATACGGTGGTGCGTATTGCGTTGGTGACAGTACAGAGTTTGGAGTGTGCGAGTTACAAGTAAGGAAATTAAATCATGTCATATTTGAATTGGCTACCAATCGGTTGATAATGTATATCTTATATAGCTATATATCTAAATTGAAAAAAAAATTGACAAACCTGGGATATGTTAATTATTTCTTGTTTCCTCTCTTTTGTAGTCATGCGTCAATGCAACCAAATTCCACGATGACCGTGCCGACCAGTGTGCTACTCACAACGCCAACGAAACTTTTGTCCCGTACCTCAGCGTCCCCCGTAAGTGTGGCCTTTGTTTTAAACTAGACCAATAAAAGTAAGATAAGGCCACACCAAGTAATTTTTAAGGATGACGTCCTGCCCTAGCTGTTTCGGTTGTTTAATCACATTTTCCCTTATCCTATACATCGTGACTTTTAGCCATAGTTACAAGAAGCGGAATTTCTTTGTGTCTTCTGAAAACAGGCCAAAATCAATGCGCACAGACAACCATCCATAAAAATTACTTTGCTCAATGTGGCCTAATGTCCTTGTCTTACATGTAGTAGCTTTTCATGCTAGTCAAAATAGCATTTATGATTGCTCAATGATGTAGTTTGTGATGCATTGTTCACATTAGTGACTTATATGACTTAAAACTTCCTTCTCATCTGAAACTATTCATTGTTTTTTGTTTTCATTTTAGCTCGTCTCTACTGCAAACTGACCTGTATGTCGGAACAAAACAACGACTGGATAGACATGGGGAATGTGGAGGATGGTTCCCTCTGTCACGAGTTCGACAACGACATCTGCATTGATGGCGTTTGTCGGGTAATTATAAAGACTATTCAAACTAGCTGCTTTGTAGTATTATAATGTAACCGACAATGCCAGCCATATGAGTTTTTGATAGGCTATGATATTATTGCAATTACAATACTAAAGAAAACAGTTCATTATGATTCACTTCTAGTCGGTTGGCTGTGACGGCGTCTTTGATTCCAACACAACTTATGACAAATGCGGCGTGTGTGGGGGAGACGGAAGCTCCTGTGTGATGCTGAATGGAAGGAAAACGTTCGAGTCGAAGATTGGTAAGACTTTCCTTTTGTCAATTTATTTTTGGTAGGCGAATTAAGTCTTGATTGTGACCTGCCTTTTTGGATATCATTGAAAAAAAAAGAAGAAAAAATACAAGAATGTAATGAAACACATTGCACCTTCAGAAATATATTAATTTAGTAATTCTATTCGTACTATTTCAACAATCTTTTATATATCTTCCTGGAAGCTTGTTCCTTTTTTTATTAATTGTTTGGTTACTTCTTTTTAACAATATGACAGGATTTCACGACATTGTCACCGTGCCAGAAGGCGCTAAGTTTGTGCGAGTTAAGGAGCTGTACCCCGGCAAACATGACGAGCCGTACTGGAACAGCTATCTGTGTAAGTAGTTTCCGGTTGAATAAAGAAGCCTTCGTAACAAAAATGCATCCAGCGTAATGCAAAATCAGAGTATCGAAGTGGGCGGAGGATGATTTATCTGCCTGTATTCAAACTGTAACAGTTGCCTTGAACAACAACAAATCGATAAAGACAAATCGATCCTTAATGACCCAAAGATTGATCTTAGAATTGTGAATGGGTACGGTTACTAGGTCCTTCCTAAGTGAAACAATGACATGACGTCTGTTTATTGCAGCTGTTGCCACTCAGAACGACACGTGCATCATCAGCTGTTCAATGGACTCATCACAGCTGGAAAGCGGCTACGCCGAAGCAGCGGGAACCACCTTCCGCTACTGGCAAAAGTACGAAACACACACACACAAAATATTTTGCCGTGTGGCGCAATGGCAGAGTGCTCGATTCGGAACCACGAGGTCCCGGTTCGAGTCCTGACATGCGACCGATCTTTTGCCCTTACGAAACCTCTTGACACGACTTTCCTCACTTATCTTATATGAGTATTGTCTGAGTATTGTATGTCTTGTACATTTATATGTTTGGGACACAACACCAACAACTGCTACCTATGTCCCACGTTCATTGCACTGTTGCAATTTCAATAAATCATCATGGTTCATCTTGAATATTTTGACAGGTTAATTATCGACACTCCCCTTACCTTTGACGCTGAGTACCACGGAGCAGGAAGTGTGTTCACCTACGGACGTTTCCTCAGTATCACCGAGGAGGTCTTTACATATGGTCCCATCAAAGAGCCCGTCAACTTCCGAGTAAGTAGACTGTAACAAGCGGTGTTTCTGATGGTATTGAATAGCTAAACGCAACATTAGCAAAACATGGTTCTTTTTCCTCTAGTCAACTTTTACTAAGTTCAACAACCTTGTTTGAGCTTTATTTAAAAAATTACATTTAGGTTCTCAACAACTGACTTCCAAAGCTGGTGTGTTACGCCGAAAGGCGGTTATACCGGCTATACAGATACAGATGCAGAAATCATTGTAACTGACTTTCAATAATTGCAAGACTACGTATAAACATATTCATTAAAAAAACTGAAAAAATGTATATTTTTGCAATAGTACATTTCAGTGTCTGACCTGAATGTGACGTACGAAGTAGCCTACGAGTATTCCATGCCGACCTACACCTATCACCAAAGTCTTGGTCCTTGCAGTAAGACGTGTGGATACGGTAAGGATATATATTTTCAAATGTTATGAGTACGAAACTCTACAAATAATTTCAAGATAAATAATCGTGATGTTCAAACATAATTTTGCACGTTAATTATTCGATAAAGAAAACGATAATAAGTTATTGCAAATTTCCAATTGCAAATAACAAGGATCAAAGAACAAGAAAAGAGTACAAAATAAATTTGAAAATCTACAGAAAGAAAGGTAATTGTCTAAAACTATAACTGTGCCTTAAACTATGTCTAAAGAATGGATTTGAATTCTCTTTTGTAAACCAAGGAAGACGTAATAAGCCCCAGTTCAGCCCTAGTATATAGAACAATAGTTTTCATATATAGATAATATGCTATAATTCTGATTATTAATGTGAAGGTATCCGTGAGGTGATGAACGTAAGTTGCTACCATAACGGACGTGATGAGAAAGTGGACGACTCCTTCTGTGAGGACAGCGGACAGGAGCGCCCCAGTAGCGACCCCATCTCCTGCTTCAACATGCTGGTACAGTCCTGTAAAGCAAGGTAACGTTCGTCCGTAAAGTTTTTTTTTAGGTTGGTAGATTGCTGGTTTCAAAGCAAACGGATGCCAATGAACCGCATGTCATCATAACGTTTATTAGATGAGCACTGATGGCTGAAAGCTACTGTGCGAGGTAAAACCAGACATCATTTTCAAAATGAATATAATACACGGTATTCTTTCCCTGCCCTTGGTGCTGATTTGTGTTCTCATAGCTACACTTTCCCTGCCCTTGGTGCTGATTTGTGTTCTCATAGCTACACTTTCCCTGCCCTTGGTGCTGACGTTGACAGGCAAACATTGTGGTTGCTTAGACATTATCAAAAATGTTCAAATCGTATCTGTAAACGTGTGAAATATGTTTTGAGGTCTTAAATTTCGTTACAGTGCATTATCATTCTCTAGAAATATAAAACATATTAGATCTAGAGTGAAAACATGTAACGCTCTTGTCTGTTTTGTATCCTTCACGTAGCTGGCAGGTTAGCGAGTGGTCGGACTGTTCTCGCACGTGTGCTGGGGGAATACAGAACAGGAACGTCACGTGTATGAAAGCCAGTGCCGACGCCTCCGGTATTGAAGAAGAGGTCCCTCTGTACGAATGCATGGAGGCAGACTACCCGTCAGCCACTAAGATTTGCAACACCGGATACTGCGACGGCTACTGGGACGCAGGGGCTTGGGGATCGGTAAGTGCCAATAAGAAAACGGTTTGCCTTCCGCTGACAAAGGGTTTAAATTTTAATCATCTACCTACCATTGTATTTAATTTGTGTGACACGTTATCTCACGTGACATGGGGCAGCCAATCAGCAAGTATAGAGGAGCGACACAATTTCCACTTGCATGGTCTTTCAGAAAAGTCCATGTTTAAACAAACCTAGTCTCCGAAGTGTTTAGGTATTTGAAATAATGTTTCAGGATATTTCTAAAGCGTTGTATATAGTTCCTTCGGTACATTTCCAGCGCAATACGAACTGGTTTTACTTCCAATTGCTAGGTGACGCTTTAGGGCGACGAACACGGTCCTAAACTAAACTAATCTTCTCATCAAAGAGCATTCTTAACATAGTATGTTTATTTTCTTTAATCTCTCACAGTGTACTACCACGTGCGGTCCGGGAAAGCGGCATCGTTCTGTCAGATGCATGGCTGTGGGCATACACCACATCCCTATACAAGTGGACCCGTCCCTGTGCGATACCGACTTTAAACCGAGTAATGAAGTAGACTGTTGGGAGGCTGGAATGGAACCAGCGTGCCCCCTCTTCTACTGGCGATTGGAACTGTCTGCTTGCAGCGTTACATGTGGAATAGGTTCATTTTCTAAAAATTACACATTGTTCTTGTTGTTATAGTAAAATTTTGAACTTTATTCCAACATAAGGATTACAAAGTGATCAAATTTTATCCGACCACTGTCGCCTTCTTTAGGATAATTAATGATCAATCACTTCTAAACGTAATCTCGCGAGAGTTACGGTTACAGACACGTGGCCTTATTCACACGAGACTTTACGAACACGTGGCGTCAGGAATTGATCAAACGTGCGATGGAGTTTTTCATGTTGTTATCCATTTTCTATCGCAAAATTTATTGTTATGGTAAGAAAATAGCTTAAACATTTCTTGAAATCATTTAAAAATGGCTACTATAACTAAGTTCATTAAAACCGGTTGCAGTTAAAAATTTCTTTTGAATCAAATATGCATGCACAATTTTGATATGAAAGCATAAGAACTTTACATGAATTTAATTAAAATTCCACTTACGAATCTAACAGGAGTTCAGTCGGCCCAGCTGAAGTGTGCAGCCCAGGATACCCACACCGCGGTAGACATCAGCTACTGCCAGGCTTACAGCCAACCTGACGAGCCGTCCGCACGGGCATGTGACATGGGCGTCTGTAACACGGCAGGTAGGAAAGAGCATATTGTTACGGTAACCACACTCTGGGCATAACAGTGGTCAGTTCTACTACCCACTGCTAGGTGGCGTTGAAGTACTAGTGAGAATTCAGAGTACGGTCCGAAATGTGACTGTTTTTTTTAGCTCCCCTCATCACGGTTTAAAACCGCAATTACTTCTACGATTTAAATAGCCTCCTTAATCCAGAAAGTTCATCTGTCGTCGTATCTGTCTATTAATTTGGGTTCTTTCACCCTAGTACGTGTGTATTCACAAAATTTGCCAGAGAAGTTGTCGCTATTTTGTTGCAGGTGGCAGCGGTAGCAACACCGACGTCGAGTACCATCTGTCCAACGCTACCATGGTGATGTGCAGCCATTTTGACGAGGCTACTCGCCACGCGCTGTGTGACGGCCAGGCCAGATTCCTGCACCTCCTCCAGACTGCCGACCAAGTCTATCACTTCACCGCGTGCCCTAGTAAGTGCTGCCTTACAATTTCTGGCGTTTATATTGCATTATAGTCACAATACATTTTAAGGTTTTGACTCATGCGAGAAAAAAATGCTACAGAAAAAAAAACATGTTTCCATGAACCTACACTGATATCAACGTTTAACGCCACGCCATTGTCATTAGCTATCTACATCATATCATAAAGCTTCTTTATTGACTTAACAAAAGTACAGTGACTTCCTTATGGTTTACTACTACTACTAAGAGGTTAGGGTTAGGCCAGGTATAGTGTTAGGGCTGGGGTTAGGGTTTGGATTAGGTCAATGAGGTTATTATTTTTTTTTTTTTGGGGGGGGGGGTCATATACAGCTATCAGGAGCTATCAGGTTGACTGCTTATTGAAACATAGTATCATTCACGGTAAATAATATGTATTTTTGATCCATGTTTTAGATTCTATCAGCCTGTTCTTGCTGATTGACCAGAACATGGTTCCTGCCGATCCTGCTGAGCTGCTCGTTGAAACATCCGACGTCTACAAGTTCTACCGAGCAAAGGCTGATGTTGTGGTATTCTATTCTCTATTTCATCATTGTATTCTACTGTTTATGATGTCAATAAATGTTTGGATCTAGCTTGGAGCTGTACTGAGAAATTTATTTTGTTGTCAAAAAAATATTATTGCAAGGATGCAGACATCGTTATTTAAAGCAGTACCTCCAAGTTACATTACAGGGAATATTTCTTTTACGTGTACATATTATATATTATACCTAGCTTTAATTGCATTAATTAATGGATTGTTGTGTTTTTATTAGTTGATATTTTTATACGTACAGCTAAACGAAGTGTTCCACTGTGGACATGAGATGGACGTTATGAATACGGAGGTCACAGAAATCAGGTAGGCTTTGTTGTCTTCTAAACTATAACATCAAGGGTACGAAATATCACATATTCTTTTTCGGCAAAAAAACTTTATTGCATTCATACTAATCTGTTTCTGTGTTGCAATTGGTTTGTGTCTGTGTGTGTGTGTGTGTGTGAGTGAGTGCATGTAACAGATATTCATTTACAATTTGTTTACAATCAAAACGAAATGATGATGCTTTTTTTCTGCGTATGAAACATTTTTGCAGCGAGGTGGACTCAGCCGGGCCCCAGGATGTCGACATCACCGGGGATTACTACCGGTTTGACTACCACAACACTGCGGTGTAAGATTTTTTAAGTCGGCACTAAAACACTGGATCTGAGAACGTAATCTGTATGGCTCGCTGGTTAAAACACAGCTAGAGCAAGTTAAGATCCTTTTGTTGTTATGAATTTTATGGAATGCTTTGGCCTACTGTTACAGTGTGGGTTTGTTTCTGCTTTCAAACCAACAATCGTACATAAAAGCAGACAAAGTAACATATACCTCAAAAAAACTCAGGAAAGTGTGTTATGATTAATAGTATTCAGGCACAATGCCCGTCTAAACTGACGTATAAATAAAACATAGACGTAGAAAGCTGTCACCATCACTTGCTTGCAGCGTTTATTTTATTGACTCCTTTCTTTCTTTCCCTCTTTTTGTGTGTGTCTGTGTATAAAAGTTACATACATATATAAAGAATGAAACACTTTTCCTGACTGTTAGCACAGTTTATTTTTATCATCAGACCACAGATAAATAGTGCCACTTCGCTTTTACAATAAGTACGGTAAGTAGATGTACATACATTTGCAACTTCAAAGCAGAAGCTAAAAGATACACTAGATACACGACTTATACATTTTTCGGGTACCCAATCCTCCCAACAACTTATCTCGTACGCGTAAGTTTTGCACATATTCTTTAATAAAAACCCCACCCCACCCCTAAATCAGACTCGTAGGCGCATAGAGTTAAAGGTACAAAATTCTACATTGAGAACTCAACAATGCATGTAGCTGCCATAGTGAAGAGTTGTTTAGGTGACGTCGGCAAGCCAGTCAACACTACGCTGAAATGTCATGACTTTAGTTCCATCCGGCGTTGTCAGAGTATTCCTGTAAAAAGACAACATTGAAAGTGAACAAAATGCGAGCTTCAATGTTTCCTTTAAAATTTTCATTTTATCCATTATGAAATTACTACATACATATGGTTTTGTGCTAATATTATGCTTCGATATAATCGAAAGTATAAAGTAATTTCCCTTACACACCGTGAAATGATTTGATAACAACGCTATTTTACCTGGTAGAAAGCGTCCAGCCACTTCAGGTCAGGCGGGTGCATGGTGTCCGACATGCCGCCTCCCTCCCGTAGTGCCTGCGGTCCAATAGTGTCGTCAAACGTGTAGAACGGCAAAGTGGATACAAATACCTAATGGGAAAAATAGACAGAGTTGTTATTTTTTTCTTACCAATTTTATCCGTATAACAATTAATAATTAATATTTAAATGATATTTAAAACTTTATTTTAATAAACTCATGGAAAACGTTTCTCACTCGTACATTATCCCCCGCCATGTGCAAAGTGTCCTGTTGTCCGTTTCCCTCCACGTTCCACAGCATGCCTATGGGAACTCTCTGTGCGGAGGAGACCTTGGCGTTGTGGTACTCCGCCGGGCTGGGAGTACGCACGTTGGGGGCCCGGGTAGTAGTCCGGACTCCCCCCGCCCACCAGGTATGGACCGCGCGATGTGGTCCGGACATCGCCACTGATCTCCCCGCAGGCAACACTTTGGTATTAACCACCCCCATGGTTAACTGCAAAAGCGATGGGAAAGTATCATGAGTCAAGCATGCCCAAAATAGCGCTTACAGTCAACTAGATGAAAACACTAGAAGGTTACCCCGACGTAATGCATGGGGTTCAAAACAAATATGGCGTCTTCGTTGTTTACCTAGGCTTCTAAACAGTGCCTTTGTAAGGAATTAGCCAAAAACGCTCATACAATCAAAAGTAAACAACTTCACCAGCAGCTGTTAGCAAAAACATATTTGAGTTACGGCATGGCACAAAATTCTGGGAGACGTTTTTGACTGCTGTGTCATGGTCTGTTTTTGGTAGTGCGTCACAGCATGATTGCGCAACAGGTGTCTCGCTGAGCAAAGAATACGCACTCCCCCTTTATTTTACATTTCTCTATCAGACACACACAATTTTGTATGAAGATATAGAATGCATGTTTTTAAACAATGTAGAAAGCGGCTTCAGTGGAGATAAAATCGTTGGCCGATGATACGAACGTTTACGTTTCCGGAATACTTGTTCTTAGATCGTATCCGTTACACCGCCCCTACTTACCTTATGTTGCCTCCGGCTACAGTTTTCGTGTCTATAAATATTTGGTGGTAGGACAAAAAAAATCTAAATACTTACGGCTGAAACTGCAAGAAAGGTTTTTCAAGACGTCGAGGCTCTAGATGCTACCTTCTTCGCAGCCACAGCCAAAATATTGCGCACCTGAAAAACATGAAAAGTCCCCGTGATTGTGTGTGAATAGAAAGGGGAACTCCATCCAAGGCCATTGTTTACTTTTGGCATGAGTCCAAATGTAGGTGTCCTCCAACAGCGCGAAAACTAATTAGTATTCAGCCAAGCGTAGCTAGACAAACAGGTACGGTTAAGACTGCGCATGACTCTAGCGTCATTATTTACTTTGGGTATGAAGCCCCCAAATGTAGGTGTTAACCAATAGTGTTCAAGTTAACAAACTTAGTAGTCAGCCCTAGGGCTAACAGAGTATTATTGGAAAGATCGCGGCCGAAAAGGTGTGTCGTTTTTATGCACTACGTCATACGACCGCTTGGTCGACTATACTGACAGTGTGTAAGTGACCTTCATCAGTGTGAACACATTTGCGAGCACAACATAACGTGCCTGTTACAGCACAAAACCGTATCGTGTAGCGACGTAACGTCACTTGACGAGAAATCACACTGTGCACTGTGTGGGACAGGTTTACAGAGGACACCCGTGTGGTAAGTAGAATGTACTATACTGTGTTGTTTACTTACGACCCTACTTCCTGTACGATATACTGCCCTTTTCAGTGCGTTTTCTTAAGTACAATGTGGGTCGAAATCATCCATGATATTTCTGTGATCACTGCGTGTCTTTAGACCGTACGACTAAGTAATAGTAGGGGCAGTTTATGTACATATAGTTATTTCAGCTACTTTATAACCCATCTTTACAGTACACCTTGTTGAAACATGACCTCCCTACGCCATTTGCCTCCCCCAGTTCAAAACAAGTCTGACAAGATATCCTAGACTGATATAGCAAACGTCTAACAATCAAGCTAGCAGACCATGGACGAAAATGTTTCAAATAGATCACGTTTTCCAACTTATATACATTTGTACTTAATTCCCCGTGTCAAAAATTTATAAATGCTCCTGTTGTGTTCATGATATGGATTTCAACAAGTGTATTTAACCAGGACAGTTGTTATCAAATCATTTATCATGCGTCTGAAACCTGTTAGGCTGCATTTTCCAAGCAGGAATAGGTAAATACGTTACAGACGAAAGCTCCTCTTCAAAACACGTCTGTCTGTACCATGTGTACATATACCTAAAAAGCTCTGAATACTGCACAAAAAGGTCTCTATTGATCTTGTAAACAAACTGCACCGTCATGTGACATGTGCTAATTAAACCTGAGAACAGGGCGCCATTTTGGTACTGACAAGGAAACAAAGCAGGAAGAATAGTGTGCTATAGTCTCTAAACCAGACTGTGAGGTAAAAAGTAAATTTATCTTCTACTGTAGGCATTTTTAGAATTGGTTGTGACCCTAAAGCGTATTTTGTCGATTCTACCATAACTGTGATTAGGAGTCTATCACAAAACGGTTTTGATAGTAAAATATTTCGTCGCGTATTGTTAGAAACAGTTAAGTGTATCGATCAATATGGTTTAAACTGTTTGAATTTGTGTCCTAATTAGATGCAGTAGAGCACACTTGGCTTTGAAGACAGCAATCCTTCATGTTCATGCCCTGGCTGCCTATAGTAGTTGATTTGTTTTGGGTTTTTTTTTTAGAAAAAGACTCTACAGCAGACATGACTGAAAAGGTGGATATGGCCCCGCCTCCATACCCGGGGCAAGACCCAGGCCAGTCAGGAGCCCAGATTCCGGGACAGCCTGTCGGGTACGAGCCACAGCCGGGACAACCTGCTGGAGAATACGTGCAACCGCCGGGGCAGCCTATGGTATACCCGGTGTGTAAACTTGTCGACATTATGAAGTTTTAAATATCTCTTTGCAGTTTTCCAGCAACGCTTTTAATTTTCTTCTTGTATAAGTGCGCGCGTGTGTGTATGTGTGTGTGTGTGTGTGTGTGTGTGTGTGTGTGTGTGTGTGTGTGTGTGTGTGTGTGTGTGTGTTAGTGTCTGTGTGTCTGATGATATTTGGACTTAGGGTATACCTTTCTGTTTCAGGGGATGGGACCACCAGTGCCGCCTGGAGCAACCGTTTTCGGTAAGGGCCTACTAAGGCAGCTTATTTTTTCAAAAATGTACACCTTCTGACGGTGCTCTGATATAAGCCCGGGCCTTATTTACGACGTGAAATAAAAGTTACATAATAGTTTTTAATCATCTAGACTGCTAGACTGCTGCTCTATGTCAATGTGAATAATTATGGAGTTGAACATAAAAAGGGTGCCATCGGATTTTGTATTAAATCGTGTATAAGAATACATTTTATATTCTTTTGTGACACATGACGTTACACGTTTTTTTATTGTATAGCTTCTGAATTTGACGCAGGTAAAAGTTTTTTTTTGTTCAGAGATTCGTTTTTGTACAAAATTTCTTATAGCACATAACATCCTTTAAAAGGTATTAGGTGTGTTAAATAAAGATAAAGAGTGACATTATCATACAAATATGTCTTCATACATAGTCCGCCAGGTTCCTGTGATACCACCCGACCACCCTACACGCAGTAAGGACCCGGTGAGGATGACTTGTCCAACCTGCCAGCAGAACATCGAGACAACCATCACCCGGGAGATCGGGCTCTTCACGTGGCTGGCTGTGGGCTTTATCTTCCTGATGGGGTCAGTGGTTTAAAATATTCGACACGTTTACATTTCTTGTAATTCAACATACAGTGTCAATGTCGTAAACTGGCGATCAGGAAACTGGGATCTAGGACAGATTTTTCCACAACAGCTAGGCGCCGCTGTGGAGCATTGTAACATCTACGTACTAAAATATTACCAAAGGAGAATACATGATCATTTAAGAATGTACTGTAAGTCTCTTTAGATTCGCGGGGCCTAAAGTATTTCGGAAGTACTAGCATCAGTACTCATTAATTTCTAATGGGAGTATGTGTGTAAAGCAAAGTCTAACGGTATATGTATATTTCGTTACTTTTACAGGTTTGCGCTCCCTCTTTTCTGGTTGGGATGTTGCTTCATCCCCATGTGTATCCCCAGCTGTAAGGACACCAGACACACCTGTCCTAACTGTGACACTCACCTGGGAACCTATCAGATCGCCAAGTAAACACCCGAATTGTCTGAAGATAATTTGGTACCGGATTTCGGTCCGATAGTACCGAGATGTCTTTAAGAAACTCTTGAGGAATCGCGGTGCTCAAGGCACGGACAAATAACTGTATAATTTTCCTCCACTACACCACCCGATGTACAATAGTCAAAAGTAGACTTAGTGTTTTCCTGCCCAATTCGTGTATTTGTATGTATGTAATTGCCCTGTGTGTTTTTTGCCCATAAACTGTAAAGTTGACACATTTCAAGAGAACTATTAACCCCTGCTATGTTGATTGATTTAAATAAAATTGAAAGTGAAAAGATGTCGAATATCACGTTTTGCTCGTTTAAAATAATATGATTATTCTTTGTACTGTGAATGAAGTGTAATGGCGTTAATGTTACTGAGATATAACAGAAAATTGAACATCTGGCTACAGTTACTGCATATACTATTTGTATTGGATGTATTACAATAAATAAACGCCTATTGCATCATATGTAAGTTCATAAGAACGATTGTGATATAGCATTATCACAATTATCTAGCGAAAAAAAGTGGGAACTTTTTTTTTTGTTTCACCCTATGCATTGTGTATAGTGCTACAAAACTGAACAATACATGTGGCATTTACTTGGACTGTGTGGCTACTACATTGTTAACCAGGCTAAAAACGGATTATTGAATGTGATAATGTTTGAGGCTCGATTCTTTTTTAAATGTTACCATAGGTAAAAAAAGTAAATCTTTTTTGCTTCATTGTCGATCAGCTCTAAGATAGCTCTATGATATTCTAATGGTGTCGTATCGTGTAACACTTTGCGTGCACCGTGAATGGGTTACCAGGCTACGGCCGTAAACACTGTCATTCGAGAGAACTGGTCCGTGCCATTTCGTGTCTGTAGCAGACAGCTACAGGTGGTGTTAGCTCGAAGGTAAGACTTTTCATGTTGTTCTTTTAAACCTTACAACTAATCCAATACATATGGAATCTGGACATCTTTACCCTAAGGATGCATGGGCTCACAGAAAATTAAGCATCATTTTGAAATCTTACACTACAATTCATTCTGGGCAGGGTCGACAACGAGCGACCGTCGAACGACGTTGCATGCTTACAGCTGTAGTAGTTGCAATGGTATGAAGGGATTGCGAATGAGTACATTGCCGTATTAAATACATAGTTGATTTGAAAAACGCATGTATAAAACCTATGTACAGGCAAACGACCGCTCGGACGAAGTTTCAAAACACGCAATTGGAAAAACAACCCCGTTGTTTTGCATTTACAGCCTTATTTCCGACAACAAAGAAATGCAGTGACAATTGTATGTAGACTTCAGAGTCATTCAAGTTCTTTCCCTCCTTTTTTTCTAAAGTATAGAGTTGTATTTCTGTATGGACCTGTAGCTGTTGTCAAAAACAGGGTGACGAGTCGTCACGAGGTGTGTAATAGGAGAAGACGACGATAGTGTATTATGTTTACAGTGATCTGGCGTGGGGCCAAGGGGAGGGGGAGGGGCGTGTGTTGAGTAGGTGATAGCCTCTTTCTCAGGCTTGGGAAGTACACCCATGAATAAAAAATACATGCATACATACATACAAGAAAAAATACATGCAGAAACGCACACACGCCGTGACGCACATGCAAACACACACACACACAAACACACGCGCGCGCGCGTCTTAACACATGCACACTGACCCACCCACAAGCACAGATAATCTGAAAAAAATCAAATAAAAACAAGGTAGGTCAATGTTTACCGACGTATCAACATCATATGATTTTATTTTTACAGAGCTTGCGAGAAGAAATGGCCGACGAAAAGGGTGACCTACGAGAGAGGCAACAGGCTTCTCTGCCTGGGCAGCCCGAGGTACGGAAACATATTTCAAACATGTGTCAGATTGTCTACCTATCGAATAGTTTTGAATTTGTTTTAGATTTCGTAATCTAAACGATGCAAAGGCAACTATAAACCCGGGAACAGTTTCATCAGGTTGGTAAATCACTGAGAAAAAAAAACTTTTTTTACATAACCAAGCTATAGATACTTTCCCAAACTATTTACTATAGCAGCGACACTTGGGCTGCATTGCAATGTGAACCAGTCAGAATTGCCCTGAGGAAGGTGACAGACGGTCACCAAAACGTCGGCTGTGAATAAAAGACTTGGTTGTGTAAAAAGAGTCTCTTTACTCACCAGCTATTAACGCAAATTTATTTACCAGCTTGTTGATAATTTAATGTACACAAAATTAAGGATCGACTGTATATGTTAGCATACACTACAATAGAACGTGTTACTACTAAACCCTTAAAACATTCTTCTCCAATATTTTGATTTTAGCCCGGACAGCAGCCACTTCCAGCCGGGACTGTTGTTTATAATGCTGGTAAGTCAGGACATAACTTTAAAGTCTGTAATAGGCTTACTTCTTTAGAAAAATACAGTCCAACATGGCATCATTTTAAAATTGACTGTATTCTGAGGGACGTATATGTGACTGCGTTTTCTATCTTTTCTATTTGCTTTGAATTCAAAATGAATACTATTTAAATTGAACAACAACTGTAAAAGACACAGCTTTTATATCCTCTAATTCAGTAATTGTAAGAAACTAGTCTATTCTATAAGAGGAACTATTAAATGGCATTGTATTTTTATTCTTTTTTCTAGCAACTCAGCCGGCTGGTGTCCCTGCGCCTATCCCCCACCCCCCGGAGCGCAGTAGAGTGTCTGTGCGGGTGAAATGTCCATCCTGTCAGCAGGATATCAACACAGTCACCGAGACAAAAGTCGGCAAGTTTGCCTGGCTGGCCGCAGGGCTCGTCTTTCTGCTGGGGTTTGTTTCTTTGTTTGTTTGTTTTGTTTTGCATAACCAGTAAACCGGGAACACAACAGTTTTGTACGTGTATTACAAGCTAGGTATACGTATTTTATGTATTTGTACACAGTAGGGATTATTACCTTCTAGAATAAAAAAGCTAATAGAATTTATCTGTAGCATGAAAGAAACAAAGTCTGAGCAAAAGAAGGTCTGTTGAAAAGAAGGTTGAATAGCTTTGTGCGTTTCTAGTCATATAGTGGACAATCCATAATATAGAAGTTGTTTATTGCAAATTCCTGCCCGAGGGCTAATTGCATACAGACATTGACAAGAAAATGTGGTGATACATGCATAAGCCTATTTGCTAACAGGAACTTCTACGTGTACGATATACTTATCGAACCTACTATCTCTACTTAAATCTAATAACGTTGGTATACATACAGGATAAAAAAAGTAAATATGCAATATGTGAACAGGCCTATATATAGGAACAATGTAACTGCTATTCTAATCTATTCTATCTTATTAAACTATTCTTGTCATGCTATTAGGGGGTTGGACTTCTTTTAATAAAATGTCGTCCATTTAGGTTGTCGTTCCCGGTGTTTTGGCTGGGGTGCTGCGTCCCATGCTGTGTCTCCAACTTCAAGGACACCAAGCACTCCTGTCCGAACTGCAAGGCGCACGTGGCCACCTACAAGATTGCCAAATAAGGAAGGACTGGGGGAACGTTATCTGCATTTTTAATGTGATGTTATGTCCATCATTTGAATGTCAAGTGATGCTTACTCTGAAAATGACTTTTAGGCGTTTGTGTTCACAAGTCTGTTTCTAAGCCTTTTTGTGACACAATTAAATTTCTCGATAACTGATACTGAGTATTGATAAGTACTTTCAAGGGTACGAATGACGCAGTTTGGTTGAATCAAACTACCAGTGTCACAAGAACGCCAAATTACTGTGTGGTCACATATATTCTGTTTCTAAAGAATATAGAAGTTGTTACTTACTTGTATAACTTATTTACCTACGCAACCATTGCCTCTATCCGTAGCAATGTTTCCTAGCGTGCCGACTGATTTTTAACTTGAGTTATTTTTACCTTCGCCAAGAAGGTTATGTTTTCAGAGGCGTTCGTGTATGTGTGTGTGTGTGTGTGTGTCTGTCTGTCTGTCTGTCTGTCTGTAAACACGATAACTTGAGAAGGCTTAAATGGACTGACTTGATATTTGGTAGGTGGGTAGGTCGTAATGAGACCTCAAAATGATTAGATTTTGGGCCACCTGGCGGCTTGTCATGGTACTGCAGCAGAACTTCCGGTTTTGATATCTCAAGATCCAGACATGCTAGGGTAACCAAATTTAGGTGGTAGATAGCTCTTGTGCTGGGGATGAAGTGACATGAGTTTGAGCCCCCTAGTTGCTTGCTCTAGAACTGCAGGGGGGTTTAAAGGACAAATGTTTAAAAGAGGATAACTCAAGAACCGATTGATGGATCATCGTGATTTTTGGTATGTAGGTAGCTTAAGTGATGCTTGACATAATGATATTACAATTATGCAAATATTGATGTAATTTGCATAATTAATGAGGAAATTCTATAAATCAGCTGCATTCCATGATAGGAAGTTCAAGCTTGTAACATATGTTATTAAGAACGAGAGAAACACAGGCAAATATCGATTATGCAAATGAAGACTTAATTTGCATAATTAATGAGAAAATGTTATAATTGCATAGTGGTAACTGCCTGAAATTTCATACTTGGGGTGTTTGAAAGTTAAGTGAAGGTGAACATAATTAAACATAACTTATTCAAATAAGGACCACATTTGCATAATTTATGAGGAAATGCTATAATGGCATTCTTTGTTAAGATAAGAATGTCTTTTGGTGTAGAATATGATCAACAGACTGATATAATTTATGCAATCAAGGATCCTATTTGCATAATCAGGGTGATTAGTATATTTCTTATTCATAAAGGCTAACTTCATTTGGCGAAGGTATGAGATCGTGGAACTCTAGTTTAATTCTGATAAACAGGTACCAATTGCATGATATGTGTGTTATGTGGAAACGATATCGATTACAATGGTATCTTTATTATTGCATTTTGGAATATGCAAATAATGTGTAACTATAAGACGTATCGTAGGTATTTCTTTACATATCAGGTGTACAGACTGAATACGGATAATATGGTTCTAATTGATTAAAAATTAGACTATTCTCTTAAGCTTCCTGTCGAATTGTGTTCACTTGGTGTCTAGTATCAAGAAGGTTAAACTACGATAAGTGCATGAATCTTTAATCAAAGACTCGTTTTATGTATCGAATGATCGTTTCTTTTTACAGTCTCGATGGGTATTTATTTATTTATGACGTTACTTTTAGACATGTACAATTTAACACAGACACCCAGATACTTCTCTTTATAAGAAAATAACATAACATACGTACCTAATTATTAAAAAATATATATTTATTAAACGGCATGTTAAAGGTATAAAAATAAAACAACAACGTAATTTTCTCTATTTTTTTCTCTAAAGAAAAAAAAACGGAACACCCCCGTCTTTGAAATGTACTCTTCCAGCATGGGTAATCACTCATGCATATTTAATGAGGTGTCAGTCTACGATGTCGACAAGTCGTCCACTGTAAACACTTCTTTCCGTGTATATTTTACCTCCTGGGCCAACAGCCTTCAATTCAACGGATTCAAAACAGGTTCAGGGACCACCCAGAGGTGTAGACAATCCTTGCTTTGGCGCAGTAGTGGCACAGTTAGCAGGTAAGTTGTAGCAACTAGTGATCGCTACTTAACCACCTATGTCATGGCCGTTCTATCTCATGTTTCAATGTAGCCTGGCACCAGCATGTCTCAGATGATATAGACATGTTGCATGTGAGCACATGTATATTTGAGACCACTGCAACAAATATACAGTTCTGGACACCTTGAATATTGTCTTTCGATCGACAAGGATAAGATTGGTCGGCAGCGACCGCCAGGCCACTGCATTTTACCCAGCCGGAATTCCAGAAATATTTGTGACAGCCATCGTTCATAAGTTAATCTCGCAGCTGTATAAAATGCTGATTTACTCTGTTGTTTCAGCGAAACCTACACGTTATAGGGATTGACATGCCTGCTGATTTTATTAAGAAATTTATTACCTAGAATACAATGCTGTAATTTCACCTGACGGATAATTGCAAAGTCCCAAAACTTGTCGGCCATGTACCTGTTTTTCTGTGACCCGACCGACAAAACAGACAGAATATTAAGCCAGCAGTGACATCAAATGTTACTCCTGTCAAACATTTGTACTATGCAAGGGTACAATAGAGCGTAACATTCATACAGCTATGAAAAACAACGCAGTGTGTAGAGCTGCACGGTGTATTGGTGTGTAGTTAACCATCCGACCGCTAGGTTACTTTTGAAGGTTGTGTGCATTGGGCGTACCGTGTCAGTCTTATGCTTTGTGTAATGTCACTCATGCGTGATCTACATAATGTAGCGTTTTAGGCCACGCCAAGTAATCTTCATGGATGACGTCCTACGGAGACTCTAAATCCAATTGCGATAGCGCCAAAAAAACAAAACAAGAAGGGCCGAGTAAACAAGATGACAACTAGATTTGAAATCTACTAAGGGACGACAAATGTTTAGTACACAAATTGAATTAGAACACAGTGTAACAGTCCACAATTTTCTATTTGTCATGAAAACAGCAATGTCCGTGACGATATTATTGTGCAACAATAAAAGTACGACCTAAAATAAAAGCCCCCCCCCCCGGACAAATCATCAAAATCTAATAAAAGTACTCCCTGAAATAAAAGTTCCCCCACCGAATATTAGAAAAAAATTATATGTACTTTGTTTATTCATTGTTGCCTAATTGGTGCCATATGCAATTGCCATGCAATAAAGTTCTTGTTGGATACATCTTTTTCAGTCATGGACACTAAACAGGACGCCCCACCCGCCTATCCAGCACAGCAGCCACCTCCTGTTCAACAGGGGCAACCTGGCGCTTACCCCGCCCAGCAACCAGGCACGTACCCCGCCCAGCAACCTGGCGCTTACCCTGCCCCGCAACCAGCGCAGCCGCCCCCGCCCGGACAGCCAGGAGTTTACGCACCTCAGCCGCAACAACCTGGCGTATGTACTACATACAGTCTACAGCTGGTAGAAAACACACACACACACACACACACACACACACATTAAGAGAGAGGCAGGATATAATAATGATAATAATAATAAATGGCCTTTAACGGCTGAATTGATGCAGGATATCACATGATAATCAATACAAATCACAACAATCAAATAATACACATTTGCTCCAAGGGTGTGTGCGGCTGCCATTCGGCGCCACAAAGTGACCTCAAAACGACTTTCCCCAACCGAAGTTAGGTACCCATTTACACCTGGGTGGAGTGAGGAAGGTCGTGTAAAGTGCCTTTCCTAAGGGCACAGCGTCGGGGCGCATGTCCAGACATGACACGGGTACACCTCGGGATCGAACCTGGGTCTCCCCGCTTCATTGTCGAACGATCTACCACTACGCCACTCGACGCCACCTGGCCCGTAAGATAGTAAGAAAGAAAAGAAAAGAAATTATGAAAGAAGAAAGACATTTTTAAGACGATATTAAGTGATATAAAGAAATCATGTAATGAGAAAAAAAGAATGGAAGAGGGAAAGAATATTGATGGTGTATCAGGAGTCACATGACGACCTTCCTTTTCAGTACGCCCAGCAGCCGCCGGGTACCTTTGTGTCACAGGGTCCGGGACAACCACCAGTGCCGCCCGGAACAGCTATGTATGGTGGGTTTGCGTCCAATATTTACCTTGATTGATCAAAAAATTAATATCCGGGATTTTAGTTGTTCCTAATTCTTATTTCAATAAGAATGTACAATCAATCATGATGCATGACGGCCACAGGCTCTCCAGTCGGTTCTGACACCCAGTGTGGCGAAGACCAGGTCTTCCCATCTTGCTCTTGGGCGACCCCTTGGTCGTCTCAAAGACAGGTCAGGTTGTGATGTCAACAGTTTGATGATGACGTCCTGAGTAGGAACAGCTCAGGAGGCATGTCCCAGGAAGGTCATCTGCTGCTGGACGATTCTGCGTGTTACTGGTGGCTGGTTCGTCCTATAGTATATTTCTGTACAAATGTGATCAGTATTTCTACTATTATGTACTAGTTTCCCAGCCCGGTGTGGTGGTGATGGGCGTTGACCAGCCGACCCGCAGTCAACACCCCTTCAGGATGACATGTCCGACCTGCCAGCAGAACATCCAGACAACGGTGGAGTATGAGATCGGGCTTTTCACGTGGCTCATGGTCGGAGGAGTCTGTCTCTTCGGGTGAGTTGTGAACTTGTTCTTAATCTTTGATATCATTTTAGCATTCTAGTAACAACTGTAAATCCAAGGGTGTTTTTTTTTCAGTGTGCCTCTGTTTTTTTTGTGTTGTTAATCCGAAATGCTAGGCACGTCGGCGGCACTGACAGGAAGTTTTTATTGTTTTTATTTCCTGCTTTAGTTACGCATGTCTTTTGTCATTCCTGAGTCTGTTTAAACACATGGATACTTCAATGACAAATTCACAATAAATAAAACAACACAAGGAATGTACAAAACACAACATATTTTCAGAGGTATATGCGGCCTTTTTTCTTGTCAGTATTCGACAGTACTAATAGTCTTTTTTTTGTTGATTTTTAAGATTTGCGATACCATTTGTGTGGCTGGGTTGCTGCTTCATCCCTCTGTGCATCAAAGACCTTAAGGACGCCAAACACACCTGTCCTAACTGTAGCACTCATCTGGGAACATACAAAAGGGCAAAGTGAGCACTTACTGCCAGGCTGCGTGCTTTGTTTCATTTTTCGTTTAAAGTGTAAGCAGTATTTTTACTAATATCTGGCCGTGTGATACTGATAAAAAAGAATAAGGACCATACAATTTCTTAAGGTTAAAAGGAAAGCAACCTTCTATATGCAAGATATACTTTTATCCCATGAATTTAATAAAGATTTATTTTAACTTTTTAAAAGGTAAATGATTGTAAGGGAATGGTAATATACGCCGCTTATTACATGGGATATGGTGATATTTAGGGTATTTAGTTTTGCTGTTGAATGTTAATTATAGTGTGTGAAAGATAATGATCAGCTTTTAACTTAGATATCTTTGATATTATAAGTTGCAGAAATAAGATGCATCGATTAGTGTGGACAGTTTCCGTTGTCTTACAAAGATACAACACAACGTCTTTAAATTTACGCGAATCGCGATCCACGGTCCCGTGATCGCGACAACAGAAATGGCCGTACAGAAATGACCTCTAGCGAGGTATCGTTGAACATACACGCCTTACCCTGCGCATTTCTTGTTATGTAGATAAGCATGAGAATCAATAATACGCTATGCAAGTCCAGAGGTTGTTTAACAGGTAGATTATGATGCATCTGTTCACATTGAAGCAATGCGGATAAAGGTACTCGTATGAAGTTGGATTAAGTTGTGTGTTAATTTGAGTTTTTTCATCTTCCTGAATTAAAAAGATATGAAAAGAATTCGTGCACTTTTTTGTGTTCCATTTTATTCTTCATTTAGCGATATCATTCAGCTTTCTCATATCTATTTCAAACCTTAATTTTTAAGTTGCTTATTCACTAACATGTCTCTGTAATCTATAATTGGTTCTAAACGCCTTCTTTTTTACAGAAAAAAAACAAATTCAAACCTGAATGAATGTACATCTGCAATAATATGACGTTCAATTTTAAAGACAACTCTAAAACACAATCATCATCCAAACTGGAGCGTCAGCGTCATCTTCAGACATTAAAACATACACTTACTAGAATACTGTATATAAAATTCAATGTACAATAGAATCAAATTCAAAGCATCTAAAGCATGTCAACTTAACTAACTGGAAAATCTGTAGTATCAAATCCTAATATACATTAGTAGTATGGAATCTATTGTTGCATAGCAATACCACAAGTAAAGGGCAGAGCTTGTAGCTATAGTGTGTACAATCTCATATGGAATGTTGATTGTTCTCATTATGTTTACAGCAGTTCCGAATGAGCATTTGTAGAGTACTGCAATCTGAGTCATTTCACCAGGTTGATATGAACATTTGATACTTTATTCAGATACCCATTGGTCTGCATAAATCGCACAGCCATAATAAAATTGATGGCTTATGGAATAGGCATACACCTGTTCACTCATATATCTAACATGAAGTCTGACCCGGAGACGAGTACATTTGTGGGTTTTGAGGCCAGTAACATGAATCCAGATTGAGTGGAACTGTCAATTGTCAATAGGTGAAACTTAAAACTCTGTGGTTAAAAGCTCAGCCCTCTAGGCCAAATGTTTGGAGGAACTTCCTGTGTGATGCAGCCCAGTACTCTGAGTCCAGAAGCTTCTTCTTCAAACTTTGTGCGGCCCTAAACTCTCTGGGCCCATCCGTCAGGATCTTGATGACGCGCTTAGACAGTGTTTTCGCGGCTTCATCGTCGTCATCATCGATCTCTACGATCGTGCGGTCAAACTCGGGATCTTGTTTCGTCAGGAACTTTGCAAGACCAGATTTGTTGGAAACCACGACTGGCACACCTGCGGCAATGGCCTCCAGACCAACCAGTCCGAATGGCTCTGCACGAGACGGCATCAGGACGACATCGGCCTTTTCCATGTCCTCGCACAGCTCCTCCTGTGTAGCGTACTCAAGGGGAGTGAAGGGTACGAACTGGAATCTACCCGTGTTTGCTTCGATGATGCTTCTGCTTGCTTGAAAATCGTCACGTCTGATGCCGCGAAGCCGCCACTTCGTGTGGGGTAGGGCTTTGATTACATGGCCCATGGTATTTGCAGCTAGATCAACCCCTTTCAGCTTCTCCACGCCCTTGACCCTGCCGATGGACAGCACTACTTTCGTTTCCGTGTCAACGGGTGGCTTCAGTTTCATATCGATGAAGATGTCAGACGGCTTTGGCAAGAGTTCGTGATGTTGTAGTGTTAGCTGATTCGTCTGATGCCTGTAGTAGTCATATATCAATGGACCGACCGAGAACATAACATCAGTATGTCGTAGGTCATCCAGAATGTTGCGACTCTCCTTTCCGATGCTCAACACGCTCTCGTCACCCTTGTACTGACTGGTGTCCTCTGGCATCACGTGGGTGACCTGGACAAGCTTGGCGTCAGGAAAGCGTTCCTTGATCCGTCTTGCTGCATGGCTCGTGATGTGTACGTGGCCCACGATGAAGTCTACGTGTGAGGGAAGGTCTGGATATCGGGTCTGGTGATCAAAGGTCAGCCAATAGAGCTCTGCCTTTCTTGGATCACGCTCAAACGTTGTTGGGAAAACCAGCCGAATTCCATCAGCAGCCGCGTCGTGCTTGTCTTGTTGTGTGGCATTCAGGACTGTGCAAAGGACTGTTGCTCCTTTTGAAGCCAGAAAGCACCCAATCTGGCGGTTGACTGTGGATATACCACCCTTTCTGGTCCCATACTCATCATTGAGCAGCAGCACCATAGGCCATTTTCCAGATCCTATAGATTAGGTCAAAAGAAAAGGAAACTCTCATTCACTTGCCTTGTCACCTGAAATTGCTTGATATTTTATGTAGGTCTAGAAACACTTATGCATTAAATCCTAACATCAATTATTTCAAAAGTATTTCTAAGAAGTGTTGGCACTATTATATAGATATATATGTATAAAATAGACAAGAATTAAACCCAATACGTGTATTTGGATTGCTATGACTGCTGCCAGGGTCTTTAGAAATGAATGTACTTTGATGGTTACAAAGAACTTTCATTCGGATGGTGTCGGCTAGCATTCCATTTCGTTCCACCTCTAGTATTAAATGGGTTTGTAGAGGATAATACTGCTGTGGAATCACATTTCCATGAACAACTGGCCAAGTACAGGTTAAGATACTTACTTGTCCTCTGTGTCTTTATCCTCGCCATACTGTTCTCCCCGGCACTGACAGTTACAACACTGATGATGTACTCAGTTCCTGCAGTCAGACCAGTGAAGGTGTGTTCTAGTGTGCATTTAGCATTCACAATTGCACTATGAGCGGTGACACCATCAGTATTAGAGATGCTGATCCTGTAGTTGTCCGTTTTGCCAGCCGCTTCAGTCCAGGTGATTCCAATGCTGTTTTCTGTCACCTCAGCAATGTTTACGGCGCCAGGCTGGGCTACAACTGACATTAGAATGATGGAAAAACTGTCAATACTTTAATCACATTTCGGTATCACCTAAAGTTAGACTGCCTGATATCAAAAGGATAATCCAACAGTATATAATTTTTATACATTTACATCAATACATCTAGCCAAGTACAATGAAGGATACTTACTTGTTCTTTGCGTTTCTGTCCTTGCCGTACTATGTGCACCGTCATTGACAGTTACAACACTGATGGTGTACTCAGTTCCTGCTGTCAGACCAGTGAAGGTGTGTTCCAGTGGGTCTCCGGTCTTTACACTTTCGGTGGAGTTGGTGACACCAGTGTCAGGACTGATGCTGATAATGTAGCCGTCTTTATTGCCACCTGCTTCTTTCCAGGTGACCCTGATGCTGTTTTCTGTTACTTCAGCAATGGTGAAGGGGCGAGGCTGAAATGCTGTCAATACTTGAGTAATTAGGATATATTAGGTAAAACCTTGTTGTTAGAGTCTATTGATTAGGATACATTAGGTTTTATCATGTTTAACGAAGAAAGCATATTGTTTTTGGTCTGTTTTTCTCTTCTTCCTCTTCTTCAAACCAATAAGGTCAATGACCTGAACCAGTCTATCACCTTAGTAACTACTGTTGGGTTACATCATGTTGCAATTTTATAGCAGGAGGGATTTAGACTATCCGACCATATATATGAACGTGTTTGAGTAAGAATGAACTGAGCAGACCATGTGCAAAAGGAAACATCATGCATTTGCTTTCCACATTTGCTTACCTTTCTAGTTCTGCATTAGGTGTTATTAGATATTTTTTTGTACTTGCTATACATTGTACCATGTGCAATAAAGGAAAGGATAATTCAGGTCACAAAATAATACTGTGGAATTAGTACAATAGAGTGTACTCACTTGCAGTGATTTTGAACCTGGGTCTGGCAGCAGGCTGGGTTACAGCTGTTGAAATTGTATGAGAGGAAAGTTATTATCTTATCACGCATTGCTTTGTATATATATAAGGCATGTGAAGGCAAGTGAAGGGTATTTGGTTGGAAGTCTTATCGGTTGTAATGGACTGTTGCTTCAAGAAAAAATATTTTTTTATACATGGATATAGATCTTAGACAATATAGATCTATATAGATATAAGTCTGCAATTAGTTTAAATGCGATTATTGCTATAGCTATATCAAAATAGTTTTCCACAACATGACTCTGTCCATACCTTGCTTCGGCCGCTTTACCAAGGGGCCACTGCCCCCGGAATCTGTATGATGCCTTGTTTCGTTGACTTTCCCCTTCTCACCTGTAATCAGGGATGGGCCCACCTGCACTGACTCATCCGCTTGTTGAACCTGACTCGTCTTTCCCTCATCTGAAATGGACATACGACAAGACTTACACATATAGCTAAAAGTTTCTTCATATCCGTATATTAAAACTACAACTCCCAAGCACAAAATTGAACCGACCAGGAGACAAATTAAAGCAAGCTATTAAAGCGGAACGAGGTATTACGGCTATTTTTCTTCGACTGTCACTTTCTTGAGTCTCTGAATGGATGATGAATTGATAAGTAAAAGTTATGTTGGCTACCTGTAGGGTTGTTCCTGTCACTCTGCTGCTCAACTGCTTTTTGGGTTTCTGACGTTTTCTGGGTGCGTGGTTTGTCTTGTTCTTCTTGTTCCGAGAGCCTTTCTTTCATGGTTTTCCCAACTTCGCCTGGCTCGTCTGTAAGAAAACAACGTTATATACCTGTGTACGATATCACGGTTAAAGCTTAGATGGGTTTGACACTTTTATTTTCAAGAAACGTACGCATAGCATGTTCCGGTAAGATCAGAACACTGGCATAGGAATGAAAAAGATCAACCATTTTATCCGACATAATAATTTGATTTTCCAGTACACGTAAAATTTATCTAGCATAACCGATGACGTTCTTAGAAGAAATATCCACTGAGAGAAGAGTCCAAGTATTTTAGAGCTAAGATTAAGATAGTTAAGTGTTGTGCATTACCCGACATCCTTAAGTCGTTATGAGATCCCGTGAACCCACTGTTCCCAGCAGCCATGTCATCTGTGCGCAAGGCTTCTCTTGTCTTGACTCGTACGGTAGTTTTCTATGAAAGTCTGAATGGGCATTAATAGATGAAATTATTGTTAACCAGGTTTGGAAGTCAATGTAGTCGATTTAGTGTTTATTAAAGGCTACTAATGATTAGGCACTAGCCAAATCGTTCAAGATACAAATACATGCATGCACATCTTGAAGATAGTCCAAACGAAACACAGTCAGTCGTCTATGCAAAGTCTGATTTGTGCCTTTCTGTAATGTCCCATATCAGAAAGCCATCAATAGGCGTTTGACCTACCTTTTCTTTCCCCTCCCGTTCTTTTCTATCCATAGTAGACCGTGCTATATACAACACCTGTCTGGTGACGCCTGCTGCACTAACACCTCCTAGATTCCTTTCCTATAGCGCAGAAACACATACAGACGTATATACACCATATATTCCAGGCCATGGAGCCGCCTAACCATTGTAATGACTACAACCAGCGGGTGAAACTTTCGCCAGGACATGCCTTATTTACAATCACATTCTCTAAAACGTTTCGAAGGAGCGAAAATATAATTTTATATACCACCAAAGCTATGGAAACATAGCGTCATTACTAGTAATTCATTTAACATCAACAGTTTATCTGTATGCTAGAGAAATATACTCAAATTTCGAAGTGTTTGTACTCAATACCCTGCTACTTTTGTCAAGGGCAAATCTATATACACCTGTAGCTTCCGGGTTTACCTGAACGTCTCCAGAAGTGTCTTCTAAGATATTGACCAGCTTTTCCCGGGTCTTTAAGGTCTCTACAAGGCCCCTAGACTCTCCAAGAACCGAACCCTGTTATTTTTGACGTCAAAAGACGCACAGGTGAGAATCCAACGGCGTCTTGAAGACAGAACAGGTCCGTTACATCCCAAGGTGAGAAGGGAATGATGTTTCGGTAGGGTTCCCATGATTCATAGCGCGATGACGCACTCCGCAGCAACGGGGTGAATGACCCCATGGGGATTTGGCTTTATATTGCCCGGCAGTGGTTAGTGTGGGACGTGTATATCTTAGATGTTTGTTAACCTTATGTAGTTAACCTTATATAGTACGTTGACGTACTCCCTCCTTTTCCAACGTCTTCAGACAAACGTGGCGGACGTGGTCACGCTAGAAAACGGACGGACAAAAACACGTACGGCGGGTTGTGGCCCTGCTTAACGAAACAGTGAATTACACTGTAACAGAGCGACACCTAGCGGTTTGCACGTTTTGTATAATAGAGCTAGCGGACACTCTTCATTTGCTGCAACCTGCGCTGTGGAATAAGGTAGATTTAACAAATGCAAGGATCTATATGAATCAGTCTCGGTAGTCCGTAGCAGTTGAAGTGACCGTCAGTGTCTTCATGCATGTGGCTTTTTAGTATGGAGAAGTATTCGGCAAGTAGTATATATTTCCAGTTCAAATGTGTCTCATTGAAATCCTCACGTACCAATCAGTTTTCACACAAACCGCTAGATGGCGCCACGCTACAGTCTTCAAGTGCACTAGCTCATAGAGAAAGCAGCTACCTCCACGTTGCAAGTTGTGCGAAATGATGAGTAGCAATGCCCTGATATAACCCGATCACCTCAATTAACTGTTACCTAACCGCAGGTAGTATTGGATTTCTTTTGAACGTTTACTTCTCTTGAGTAATGGTGCTCTTTTGCCTTGCATTGATTTTTACCCGCAGATAAATCGTTCTCCTTATAACTTAGAAAGTAAAGGTCCAGGCATCCTCTTCAATGATGAAACGGTCCAATACGGGAAAGTGGTGTATCTGTCAGTGACATATTATGGGGCAGGGGGACTTTGTGTGCCAGCGTTCCTGATTTTTTCGCACTTTTCTCCAATCAAAAACTACGCTTTCCATGAGGATATTCAGTAAGAGAAACGGTACACACTAAAATGTTTATGTTCATAGATTTAATTCCATTAATATAGCCAGAGTTTTTTTGTATATCTGTTATAAGTATCTTGAAATTAATTAATAATATGTGTATGTTTACTTACACGCTTTTGTGTGGTCTGCAAGCCCTAATGCACTTTAAGGTATAATACTGAGATATGGATTCGTGCTGAAAAGTCAAGAAAATTACCTGAAGGTGATAAAATGTGAATTTAACAATGCTACAGTACATTGAAATGCAAACCTCTGCACACTAGCTGTTGCACTTGACAATACCTGATTCCTTTTAATAAACTAGAGGTCGGAGATCTCATGTCTTCGTCAGAGGTACATCGTTCTAGAGAAATTAACATGCGTATTCTTCAATCTTTTTAATAATCAATTTGGTCTAAAGAACAAAAGAATCTCTGTACTATTTTTATGGTACAGAACACCCTGAAACGGTTTGCCGCAGATTATACAGATGCGTCGTCACCCGTGTTAGCCCCCCCCCTACGTTATTTGAGTTTGGACTGTTACTGGAAAAAAACGTTCAAGAAATTCTTACTGTGTTGAAAGTGTCACGACAGCGCCGCAAAATATAATAAGAGAAGATGTTATAAAGGAAAGAATCAGAACAGGGTGACTACTGCTGTTTTGTTAATTTGTCTTTATGACAAATAGAAGACTTGTTTCTTGTGTTCTTTGTGTCCTAACATTTGTACTTCTACAGTTAGTATATTCCAAATCTAGGCATCTCGTTTTTCGGCCCTTCGTGTTTTTATTGCGCGCTTGCCTTAAATTTAAGGTAATTAGATTTAAGGTCTCCAGTGGACGTCATCCATAGCAATTACTTGGTGTGGCCGTAGAAAATAACCTGACATATGTCCAACCTATCCTCCCCCTGCTGAAGTTATAGTACAATCCCTCAATGTAACGTCATTTGATCCCATCCCATTATGGGGTTCCCCGCTATATCCAGCTGTCGGCTGTCTCCAAGCAGATGTAGGTGGGAGATTTCTAAACACAAAAGGTCCTATTACGGGGACATAACGACCTCCACGACTCTCATCTTTGAACTCAATCTTGGAGACCACGACAGTAATATGCCTATCAAATTTCATTAACTTCCATGCACACATACAAAAGTTATCCTGCTCACAAGAAAAATTAACAAAATGCCCCCTGTAGTCACAACGAAACCCCCCACGAAGCTCAGTAACGAACTTAACCTTGGTCCCGACAATAGTAAGCACCACACCAAGAATTATAATCAACATTTTACAAATACTTGAGTTATCTTGCTAACAAGCCACAAACACAAAAGGTGCACTAACGTGACGCACGGACCCCCCACGAAGCCAAAACTTGTACTTGACTTCGGCCTCAACAGCAGTAATCTGCCTGCCAAAAATCATGGACGTCGAATCATGCCTTCCAGAGTTATATCGCAAAATCCGCAGTTCCCCACACTCCGGCGAGACAATTTCATAGTCCTTCTAACGAAGACAATTACCTAGATCTTTAAGCTATTCATTTTTACTTGTGATATAGATATCTAATATCATCTTGCATTCACGAGGAGTTAGATAGGTAGCTTGACAACAACTCTTAACAGCAACTACAGAAGTATTACATCCATTCCCATCCTCACTTCCAGGTTCCTTTTATTGGATTCGTCGCTTGTGTGAATGTTCATATTCCTTTCATAGATGGCGGATTACCCTTGTCAGCTTTTTCCGCCTGAGTTTTATGATCACATCAGTGATACTACAGCGTGTTCCATTTGTCATGGGTTACGGTCTGACAGCGTTAACCTATAGTAACCTTGTTGTATTATTACTTGGCAGATGCAGAATGCATTCCACTATTCTGTACGGTCGTGGATTTGAAATATTCCTTTTGTTTGCCTAATTCGCTGTTTGCTTGCCTTATATACTGGCTAGTATGTTGCAATATACATTCAAATAAAATTAGCCATACTCTGTTTATCATCATCGTTGGATTGCTTTAATGTAGGTCTTCAAATGTTACATTCACATTTTCTTCACATCAGTACAGCAAACAGACGTTTACAGTTAGGCCACAGCAAGTAATTTTTATGGCTGCATTATTATTAGCGAGCGCATTAATATTCGCCTGATTTTTTTATTAAAAAAAAACAACAACAAGAAATGTTGCTGCCCTCTAACTGTAGTCAACATGCCGAAAATGGGCAAAGATGTCTGTTGCCATGCCAGAAAGTGGATGGCAGATAAATATGAAAAGAGGAGAGAAGAGAAGGCTCTGAGTTAATGTTTTGTCTTTTACTGTGCAGTGATGTATTCTTTCCTTTCATATGTGATGGTAGCTGTGTATATGTGGTGTTCCCACTGAATCAAAACAATTTGTGCAATGAAAATTTAAGCTGTTTCTCACTGAAAAGCTGTTTCAATGTGAAATGGATGCTGTAATACTTTGCAGTAAACTTAGCACAATATAGGTATCATTTCTTGCTTAACAAGGTTTGTTATGGCAAAATTTGATGATGTACAAATCTTGTTTTCTTTTTGCCCTCTTGTTTTTTTTTTTTCTTTTCGCCCTATCACATTAGACTCGGAGTCCGCTGGGATGCCATCTATAAAATTACTTGTTGTGGCCTTATGCTTTTCTTGACATGATCATGAAGTTAAGATGACATAGATGTTATATTCTAGTGAGTTAGTAACGCTATGGCCACGGAGGCCCTTCAAGGTGTTAACGCTCAAGGCTACAAGGAATGCTTTGCTTTAAGATAAATATCATTTTGCGATAAAATAGGATATCAAGTGTATAACCTTACAAGAGACATTTCAATGAATTTCAAACCATATTTAATAAGTACATAGACATAGTGAAGCCCTAAAAACAACGAAGCAGCTTCCGTCCACTTTTACATACAAACCAACGACACTGGCAATTTAAACCCATTCAAACATACATGGAAATATGTGCTTAGTAGTGATACACACCTATTAACTCCTTTAAACTCCATTAAAACTTGATCTACGTTACACAGTCTAGCTGCTTGGGTCCCTCTTGGGGGTTTATGTGGCTGCTGACATCC